CCTCACTGAGTTATCGGGACTTGGGTGGGTTTTAGTATGTATGAGTGTTGATTGAGATGGGGAAACGTCCTCACACCCACCCACACCCAGAGACAAAAGAAGCTATGCAAGGCACCAGATGGGACGGTACGGGACGAGACAAGTCCAAAATGGGATGGCAGTCGCGATGAAACGCCCCTTGTTGTCCACGTAAACGGAGGTTGGCGTCAGTTCTGGATGTTTGTGTACGGACAAAAGTATGTCCTCACGTTTTCCCCTCTTCCATCGCGCTCCCCTATTACACGGGAAGTGCATTGTCGCGTCGCCCGTCTCGTCAGAAATCAAGGCCGTGTTGCATTCCAGTAGGCTCTTTTCCCGCCTCCCTTGCGCAAAGAGGGGGGGAGGGGGGGCTGGGAGAATTGTTTTTGTTTGTGTGTGTGTGTGTGTGTGTTTTTTCTTCTGGCCAACCTAAGTTTCAATGGCCCAAATTCGGGCCATTGGGCACCTGCTGCACCTTAACTTTTAGCACCTTCGGGAACTCGCAGCCAGTCGACACGTGCTGGGCGCTTTGTTTTGGCCCCCTGGGTGGGGACCTACGGATACACCAGGACAAAACTAGGTAAGAAAGACCAGCCTCCGCGGTGTCGCAGAAGCCAACCGATGGAATTTCGTAAACAATAGTGCTAATCATCAACTATCCACCAACAGACAACAGCAAGATTATCGTCGACCATGTTTTGCTGCCATGGTGGGCGATTACCTACACAGTAAGTATGTAAGCGCAAGATCCAGGGGACTCACTCTCGATGCTCATTGATTTTTAGTTCCTGGCATGGCGCTCAAACGCTCGAGCTGAGGTCTTTTGCCCTACGTCATTTAAAGCTGAACGGACGACGATAAACAATGACGGGCCATCTTACGGTGGCCACGCGATGCGACGCGTGTTTTCGCGTAAAGCACTCGCGCGCTTCCAAAAAGGGGCTTCACTATCCGCAGATCTGGATACGCGGATTGTTGTTGCACAGTTTCGACATGACGATGCACACTGTCAATCTCCACTGTACCTTACCTAAGGTACCGTACATTACTCCGCACCACATATCTACCGTGTAGTAGTGTACCTAAGACAAGGTAAGGTAGGTAAATCTTAGATAAGCAGACACGTGCTACCCTGCACTCACCCCGAATGCTTATGTAAGGCCAAAGGTGCACTGGGCACTGGTAAATTGGCAGCAACGTTCCCACGCTCCAAATCCCAACCCAAATGCAAGAACCTTGAGCTGATCTACGGATACGGGTAGCTGGCTAGGTATTCATGCCGTCTAAACCCTTCCAGCTTTCCTTCATGCACAACACTCAATAACCCAGCACCAAAACTCTCGCTACTTGACGACCAATACGTCGTAGCACATATGGCGCATCTTCGCCCCCACTCCCCTGCAGAAGAGCTGATCAGGAGATGGCCTGGTATTATCCTCGGACTGATTGATACCTAGGCTACATGGCCTTTTCGGGACAGAAGCTCCTCGAGTGCCTGCCGCCAATCTTTCCGGACTGACATGCGTCTTTTGACTCGTTGGCCACATGCAATGATCCAAGTCCAACAAGCAGATCCCTCTCAAACCCCAGTTTCTATGCGGGTACCTGGTCTACCTGCTCGACCGAACTCTCGGAACCCCGCCAGCCGTTCTCAGCTCGTGTGAAGCTATCTGCTATTTGCTCCATCGAGCAAGGCAGGTCCCCGGCGGAAATCAGCTCTCCCCGCTTACACGAGCTGTCAGGGCCAAATGCGAGACGACAAGGACAGAGTACGAATGAACTAGGTACGCATACAGATAGAGTTTGCTTGAGGCTCTTGCATCAACGGCTCTCGCCGCCTTGCCTACAAAGCTATCCCCGGTATACTTGCACTGACAGAAGGGGTCCAAAGGGAACGTGGGAAACTAGACAATCTCCGGGTCCCGTCTTTTTTCCCATCCTTGTCCGAGAAACCAACAGCGCTTTGGCCATTGCACCTGGGGGTCTTCGAGCCCCTTCGTCAGGAGGCAATGCTATGTACCTATTGCTGGCTATCTCCATCAACAACCAGAGAGAACGTGTGATCTTCGCACACATTGCGCTAGAACAGATGCAGCTCGCATTTTGGGTGTGGACTTGCGCTGACAGTGACAGACAGCGTCATCCCTGATTGCCATGCTGACTAGCTACTCCGTACACTCGCCACTCAACACTAATCCGTACCGCAATATTTCGTACCCTTCACGATACTCCGCCTTCCAAGGTTCGCAAGACCACGAGCCGGCAACGCTTAGTTCCGAACATATCTTGGTGGGATGTTGACGGCGGCATACTGCAACTATTGAGAAAATGCCTTCCGTCACGGTTTTTATCTCCTCCAGACTCCACCACTCCTTTAGCCCAGTCTCCGAAGCTGCCGTAGCTGATCTGCTCTTCTGCCATGCCGCCGGCAACGTGAGCTTTGTTCCGCTTTGCCGCGTGGGTGTCTTACTTCGGGACCTTGGCGATCCATCTCGCCGCGTGCTCTTTCTATGTAATACAATTGAACCATCCGCAGATCGTCGACGAGATATGACCTGTTGTGTTGGAAATCGATTGCCCGATGCGAGAAGTGATAGCCCTACAGGTACCGAGGAGTCAACCCTCGTCTCGTGATACCGAAACTCCACGTGCCCTGGTAGCTCAGTGGCGGGACCTCGAACAGCATTGATTGACAAAGACGGGCAAACTCCCGGTACAATATCAGGGAGACTATTCATCTGTTCGCGATCAACGAGAGATCGCAATACCGGCAAAACAGATTCACGACTCAGGTAACTCATTTTGGTTGTTCTCGACCGTTTGTAATTACTCTGTGGTAGCGAATTGATCGCGTACGAGATTCGAAATCATCTCCAGACCATTTTCGAAAATGATATAGTCCGACCGCCGATTCAGGCTTCAGATCGCAGCTCCGAGGATCGAGGGGATCGAAGAAAGCACGGGCATCGACAATATACAGTCTGGCTCCTTTCCCACGGTAAGCTCTGCCATGCTCCATTATATCGGTCCCAAACATTGGAGCGAGCGATAGGACGCGAAAGTTGATTAGGAGATAGTCCCATATACTAGCTCGACTGTCAAATGGCACTCGCCAGGCCGTGAGCGCCGCCCTTTTGCCCGATTAGGACACTGGTCGAGGCCCGGGTCCTGGGCCGCAGTGGGGCCGGGGCCGAATTGGTCCAAGTCTCGAAGCGTGGGCTCCATGGGGGTCCTGGAGGTTTCTCGACACATCCCTGCTGGGCCACCTCGAGACTGGAGAAAGCCAAGAGAGTCCGAGTCTGCAACTACCCACGGTTCGCTGAAGAAATCTCGATTCTCAACCCCCAGCATCCCCGTCTTTGCCAATTGAGGTAGCATAGACAGGTGTTGCTCTTCCATCTTCGCGCCCAATCCTACACCACCTAGCTATGTACTGTGGCAATGAGGTCAACAAGACTGCCATAGTCAACCTGCAGTGTACACGGCGCCCTGAATTCTACAGAAGACCCCAGGCAACTCTCTTACCGAAGTTTCGTCTTGCCTCTTCTCTACCATCGCTGTTGCGGTGAACGTGGTGAAATCCCACCACCAGGAGGTCACATCTTCCAGCAAAGAGGTACAGCTACTTTGGCATCTCTCACAGCCACTGCCTGAGTCAAGATGGCAGCAGAAGAGGCAAGCGTGGCAGGGGAGTCAACGGACACGGGGGACAGAGAATAGCGTGTACTGGTACATTGTTGAAAGAAGGTAACCATATTGCATATGCACTCTGGTCACTCTACTACCTCCCGAAACTAACCTAATGCTAGGAAGCTTGTTGTGCTTCCCCGTCAAAGCCCGTCTATGATCTATCTCCTGGCTTGACATCGCCGTCTATCCTCCTCTTACTCAGCATGGCTAATACCAGGCCTGACGTCTTCATTGGTAACGGTGCAGAGCGTGCGAAACAGTTTGTAAGTGCCGATTTGGGTCGGAGCATTCATGTCGCCCCCCTTTAGCCTTTTCTTGACATATCAGGATGGCCCTGGCATCGCCGAACCGTTGACAAGAAAACCATGGATGACGACGGCTGGTTCACCCGAACCAAACGCCCCCAAAGGCCGTGCAGTGTCCGTGGTTCAGATGAGCAATGGGACTAACCCCAACCCGTCAGCAAAATGTCTAGGTTCTGCCAGAAAGCCAAACAAAGACTGCCCGGCGTCCAGGTTCTGGCCTTCTCAGCCTTCGGAAATCTCTTTTGCGCGGTCAGGAGCTATACTCAGCTCTGCTAGTGGGCGATCATTCTCCGCTCGGCTGTCGAATGGTATTCTCCCATCACCATACATCGTGGGAACCTCCTTCTCACGCAGACTACTGCAACGCAACGCTGTGGGTTTTCAACCATTCTTGTTTGATTGCCGCCAATGTCGGCGCCTTGCTGGGGGCCCAGCCTTGACAGAGAGCAGGGGACGGGTTGACGGGTACCTGACGAAAAAGTATGTTGGTTCTTTCCATATGTAGGCAAATGTGCCTGACATGCCCGCTTGCGCTTCTTCCGCCTCGCCCGCCAATAGTTTAGTATCGGCGTCCGTCGATCTTTGGTCTCGCACACCCTCCTAGCTTGCTATCTGCTTCGTCTCTGCCGAGCCCCTCTCCTTTGATCACATCCCCGCTGTTCTATATGGCGCCGTCCTGCTCGCTGGCTGGATGACGTTGCGGGATTGCCCATGGCTGGAGTGCCCCACGGCTATCTTCCTTTGACATTTGATGCTCATCTTCTTTTCCCACGATCAGCACTCTTCCAAGCCCAATATAAATCCTTCTCCGTTCCCCCAACGCCCGTGGCAATGCCTCAATCACCAGAGACAACTCCGGCCCGTGATCATTCTGGACCACGTTCTGTATTAGCACTATTCCGGCGAAAAAAGCACATGGCTCAGGTCGCTGCCGCTCACAACACAAACCACCGCCGACACAGGCACGGTGAACTCACGCAACCTCAAATGAACGGCTACAGCTCTCTCAGTGTCACATCCCTGCACAGTCAGAAACAGCAACAAGTAGACTTTGACGAAGGCGGCGCCGATATTCCCGACATCCCGCTGAAGCGTCCAGTCACCAAGATGCACCAGGACCGTCCCTTGAACCCGTCAAGGTTCCAAGAGGCCTGGGAGGATGATGAGGATAGGAACTGGACCGCACATCACGGACATGGGCCCATCAATCCCAATACCATAGCTCCTCGGCCAGATAGAAGGTAGGGAGAGATATCAATCTGCTGTATATGTCAAGAGCAATGCCAGCTAACACGTCACCAAAGCGCTGTCCGTTCTCCTGAAATTCCCCCAAGAGAAAGAGGCAGAGTTAAATCTCCCGAGCCTCTCCACGTTCAGCAGCGGCAAATGTCTTCGAGCCCACCAAGGAGCCCGAGAACGCGGTCTTCGAGGTCCAGGGCCAACTCGACATCATCCTCGTACCAAACAAACAACACATCACTCCCAGCTCTTCAGACCAAAGGCGCTGGCGATGACGAGATTCTCGAGCCCTTGGCAGAAGAGGAAGTCGAGCCCGGCTCGTTTGATCTTGTGGTCCCATCTCACGGCGACAACGGACAGTACTCGTTGGAAAACCGCTCCGAACTCCTCTTCTCAAAAGACCACCTACAGGCCATTTTTGATGATCACATACTCCTGCAACGATTTACCGACTTCCTTCACCATGCCCGGCCCGACTCGCTACCCCTGTTGACTTACTTCTTGGACTGCTTAAAAGCACTTCGAGCCATTGCGTATGCGAATGCGATCGCGGGTGGTCTCGACACTTTGCCCGGGCATGAGTTCACAATGGCAAACACGGACAACACAATCAACAGCTCCCTGAGGAAGAAGGCCGAAGCAGCTTTCGACGTGCTCGTTCAGCAAGATCTTCCGGCCTACATCACCCAAACCTGGATTCAGACCGTCAGCGTGTCCATCAAGAGACGTATCACAGGCACCCTTCCAGTCCAGCTCAGAGAAATGTCCGAGGGTTTGGCAGAAGTGTTTTGCTTGACGGATCCTTCGAGAAACGACAACCCCATTGTCTTTGCTTCTGAGGGTATGCATTTACCTCCTTCGCATATTCTTCTTCTTCCACAGCAGCTGACTTTAATGTACAGAATTTCACCGCACGACTCAATACGGCATGAACTATGTCATTGGCCGCAATTGCCGTTTCCTTCAAGGTCCAAAGACCAATCCCTTCAGTGTACAACGTATCCGTGACAAGATTCTGGCTGGAAAGGAGCACTACGAGACCTTCCTCAACTACCGCAGAGACGGCTCCCCATTCATGAACCTCCTCATGGTGGCGCCGCTCTACGACAGTCGCGGCACAGTCCGCTACTTCATCGGCGCCCAAGTCGATGTCTCCGGTCTCGCCAAAGAAAGCTCGGGCTTGGATGCCCTTCAGAATCTAGTTGTCGAGAAGGAGGCAGCCGGCACCATCAACGGCCAAAACCAGCAGCAGCAGCAGCGATATGACAATGAGGAAGAAAAGGACGAGTTCGAGGAGCTCAGCGAAATGTTCAATATGAACGAACTCGAAACCGTACGCAGACGCGGCGGAAACATGCACCGCGTCCCGCAAGACGAAGGCCAGGCCGCATCCTCGACAAACTGGCAAAAGCCACGCATCCTAATCCAGGACGAATCTTCCTCTGTCCACCAATCCAACCCAGCCGTGCCCCTGACGAGCGGCAAGCTTTCCGGCGTCTACGAGCACTACCTCCTCGTCCGGCCATACCCTAGCCTCCGCATCCTCTTCGCCTCCCCTTCCCTCCGTCTCCCGGGAATCCTCCAGTCCAACTTCATGGACAGGATCGGCGGCTCCAACCGCGTCCGCGACGGCCTCTCCCAGGCCTTCGCCGACGGCCACGGCGTCACCGCCAAAGTCCGCTGGCTGACCAAGTCCAACAGCGAAGGGCGCGTCCGCTGGATTCATTGCACGCCCCTGTTGGGCAGCAACTGCGCCGTAGGCGTCTGGATGGTCGTCCTCGTCGACGATGAGTCCGAGGCCGGCATGAAGCGAGGGAACCAGGCGCCGCCCGTAGACGGCCGGCTCCGAAGGGCCCCCGGCATCGCGCAGCAATTCCAGCAGCAGCAAGCCGGATCGCAACACCGTCCCTCCGTCGACGACAAAATGTCCCTGTCGAGCTTCGCTGCCATGAACCGCGCCCGCGACGAGGTCCAGGTCGACGCCCCCGCCGACTTTGACGTCGACGTTCCCTCCGAACGCCCCGGCAGCCGCGCCAGCCGCGCGAGCAAGTCGAGTCGGCTCAGCCGGGGTCCCGTCAGCGCGCAGCGTCGGCCTCTGATCCCGGGCGGGTTCGATGACCCCGACGGAGGGCCATCCCGGCCTGCGTATACCGTAAGGCTGGAGGAGGATTAGTCACTCACAGTTTGGTGCACATTCTCTATGTGTCTCGCAAAGTTTCTTGTTATCCCCAGGATGGGCGGTGTGCCGGAGGTGCCGTTGAACGTTGATCTACTTGATACCATTATAGTTTTGTGCCCTTATTTTAGCCTTGTTATGTCGGAATCTCTGTACAACGCGGATCTAAATCTCCCATATACCTGACGGAACCGGAGGAACAGCGAAAGTAAAATACTACTAATAAATTAATCTCACATCATATAGGATCTGTCGCTGATTTACCTACTTGACTCGCAATGTGTGTGCTAAAGCTGGGAAGCGAAATTTCTCGTCATTGTCAGTAAACAGCTGGCTACATGATAAAAGGAAGTAGTCATATTCCCCATATCAACAACCCTTAGTTGGACATTGCGCCGTCTGTGATCACCTACTTACCCGGCCTGGCCCTGCGTAATGATGCGACGCGACTCAGTTGTGCGGTGAGAGCCTTGAAGTATTGCAGTACCACGTAACCCGACGTTTAACCGCTTCGACTTTGAATCTTCAGACTTGTGCTTCCTGCCATCTGGTTGCTAAGTTTGCGTTGGAGAAGAGTATAGTTCCTAGCTTGAGTACCAGAACTCTGCTGTCTGCTCTTGATGTTGTTTCCCTTCGTAGAGGCAGCGATACCTGCTCAGGCATGGTTCTTCATGTTTCATCGACTCGTAAAATTCATGTAGTCTAACAAGTTTGCGAGCGCTGGGAATTTCCGCCAAGGATCCCGGATCTACCCAAAAGCACGCCCTTGATTTCTATCGCCCGCCTGACCCAGACCTCAATATCCAGTATTAGCCAACCTCTGGGAGCGTGAGTAATCCACCTCTCGAACCCGTCCTGGCAGTAAACCCAGTCGTCCCTATCATATCCTCCATTCCGCAAGGTACGCATAAACGGACCTAGGCCTGGGCAGCACCGGCTTGCTCCAGTAAGCGGGCCCGCCAGCTATTGCATACCTCCTCGAACCCTCCGACGACATCCCCGCATACGCCCGCGCACTCGCGGTTGGCCAACCTCTCGCTCCAATTACCTCGGTTGATCCACCTCTCACCCTCCTCCCGGAGCTCTTCTTCCCTCTTGATCTCGGCAACCAGCTCCTTGGCGCTCTTCAACCGACGCGTGGCTGTTGTGGTTGTTTGCCTAGACATGTGGAGAGTGTCTGAAAGGTAGTTGAGGCTCTGGACGAGGTCCGATGTGAGGGTGTGAAGGGCTGTGAGAGAGTCGTAGGCTTTTGTTGTCGGTCGCGGCATCGACTCGGATAGCTCGATCAAGAGGGGAAGCAGCTCATCGATCGTCTCCGAGTCCGGCGGTGGAACGAGTGGAGAGAGGAGCGGGAAGGTCAAATTGTGTAGTTGCCGGGTCTGATGAGTCAAGTGGGTAGTGAGGGCCGAATGAGCGGTGATGAGTCTACTTTAGTTAGTCAATGATCACAGCTGCAGGTGAAGCGTCTTGAACTTGCCTTGTCGCACTGCCCTCGACGCCGGCTTGCGAGCCCAAGTCTCTCAAGCCCTCTGTTACCCGGCTGAAGACACCATCCGTAGGTCCTCCATTACTCTCAGTGCCCCTCCTCGCCAAAGACTCGACGGCATCCATCTTGGCAACGAGACTGGGCAGCATGCCGGGGGAGTCAAGATCAGACTCGGATCCATATTCGCTTCCGTCATATTCGCTCCCGCTCCGCCGATGACCGCGTTGAGCGGCTGGCGGTGGTCCCAGGTTAAAGTTCTTCCCCTTTCCGCCGGCATCGCCGAGACTTGCAACATCGACCCCGCTGTCTCTTATTCCTTCAAAGGTGGCTTCTTCAACGTTGATATTTGGTGTCCCGCTTCCGTTGTTCTCGGCGTTGTTTGTCTCTTCTTCGTAGTATTCTCCTTCGTCACCAGAGTCGGAGAAGGCGTCGGCCAGTTCATCTGCAAGATTACCTAGGCCGTTGCCTCCGTCCATGCCTCCGCTCGCATATGAGATGTCCAGGGCGTCTTGGTTGTTGAAACTGCTGCGCAAAGGCGTTGCGGGATCGGCGGAGGACCTAGATGTTCGTCTATTTTGAGGGGAGGAGTTGACGCTGTTGTACTGGTACGAGCCGTCAACGCCCGAATGGTTGCGCGAGTGTCCCGGAGTTTGAGGCATCTTGACGGTGTGACGAGGGAAAGTTGCTATCGGTCGGTCGGCGAGAGCAGCGGCGGACGTGTTCGATGAAGCCGTCCAAGCAGCACTTTATGATGGCAAAAGGCCGGGTCGATGATGACGCTCCGCAACGTACGTGTGCTGGCAGCCCAAATAGTCGAGTATGAATGCAATGTTGTTGCTTGTCTGTCCCAGGGTTGCTGGTGCAGTGATAAACAACAGGGGTTGTCGCATCAAATACACGGCAAGGAAGATCCAGGTGGAGATGGGTGCGGGAAGCGTGTAGAGACGGCCTTGTACCGGGAAAACAGCAGTCGTGCGAAAAATGGGCTACCTAAACAGCAGTCTAGGCGGAGCAGATATCAGTGTTGGCGGCCCATCCCATGCATGGAAGTCAGGGAGTGTTGTGTATAGGTCTGGTGGCCGTGGGCGAGGTTGAGATTATCACTGGTTTTATTAATTTCAGAGGCGGGCTGATATCGGTTCGGCGCCAGCGATCCAATTAATGCAATCCGGCGGGCTCTGCTTTGTTGTTTGATTTATCGGAAGAGGGATGGATGGAGACTATGTTGTAAAGAGAGAGAGCCCTTGCGCCTGTGCGTCACTCACTAGACCTTTAGGTTTTGGCGGTGGACATAGGCTCAAAGAAATCTCCGGGAGAAAATGTTGTCGAAGAAATGAATATCATACTCGTCTTCGTGTGGTGCCTCGAGGCTGGTAATACTGCCGACGGACCCCTAGTGCTGTGTCTCAGAAACTCTGACCGCTGACACTGAATCTGAATCTATCCGGAAGGGGGAAGTTGTCACTCCTCCTGCTAGCACTGGCAGTGGCAGACGTATGGTGGTCTCTGCATCTGGCTGATGTATTTCTCCCCTGCTTTAACTGCGAAAGATACTTGCCAAAGCTGCACGCGCCAGAGCCTCAGGTCAGCACAAGAAAATTAAAAAAAAACACGCTCCCGTCTTTCGTGCTTCCCCTCCATTCGCTTCCAGTCAGAGATGGAATGTGGTGGAGTCTGGGCCGTTGTCGTCCCTTATCTGGTACCACTGAACACATAGAACCTGGAAGCCGCACGACAGCTCCGAAAAGCTCCTTCTCAATACTACGGCAGCTATTGATGAGGCAGGAACACCGATTCCGACTCGACCTCCTATCCTGAGGCTTTTTTTTTTCTCTTTTTTTGAGCACTTACCTCTCCCGAACCGTCTTACACTCCTTGCCGCCTGCGACAGCTCCTTCCGCCTAGGTATCTACAATTGCCATCTCCCGACGTCGACCCCTCCCTTGCAGCCTGGAACCCCCCTCCGTACCTCAATTGATCGCCGGTCGGGCCACTCATTGTGGCAGCCATGGCAACCTTTCGCCGCTTCCGTCCTGACGATGTCAACAAGTTCTCTAAATGCAACCTCGACCCTTTGACCGAGACGTATGAGCTGGCCTTTTACCTCCAGTACCATGCCAAATGGCCAGCCATGTTCCAGGTCTGTGAGGACATGAACGGCAATATCATCGGCTATAGTATGTTTGAGAACACAGCCACGCTTTTTTCGACTTGTCTGACTTGATGCTTTAGTCATGGGCAAGCTGGAGTCATCACCCGACGTCTACAAATATTCCGAACACTACCTTCCCTGGCATGCCCACATCACCGCTCTGACCGTTGCGCCAGAGGCGCGAAGGCTGGGTATCGGCAAGATTCTCTCCGAGCAGCTGGAAGCCGCAGCCGACGCTAACGATGCCTGGTTCGTTGACCTGTTTGTTCGCACAAGCAATCACAAGGCAATTACATTTTACAAGAGCATGGGTTACAGCGTCTTCCGCGTGGTCAAAGATTACTATGGCGATCATGCTACAGACCCTACCCGCGACGGCGAGGACGCTTATGACATGAGGAAGCCAATGAAGAGGGACGTCAAGCTCGAGCATATTAGAGATGATGGGGAGAAGCACGAGGTTGACCCATCTGATGTCTGGTGAAGAGCAGACAGCGTCAATTCTAGCAAACCCCGACTATCATTTCCTCGCAAGCCTCGCTAGGCCGTCTGTGGCTCATAACCACGCTCCATCGACTTGATAGACGCTCCCGCTCACGAAGGAGCTCTCTGGGCCGAGCAGGAAAGCGATGACGTTCCCGCACTCATCAGCAGTGCCCTGACGTTGAAAAGACGTTGGCTCGTCAAAGGTGGCGTCGGCTGCGCGATCATGAAATTTCCAAGCCTTCTCCATCAAAGGTGTATAGATGGCGCCGGGAGCAACAGCGTTGACTCGAACCTCTCGGGCACCGTTCTCGTTGGCCGCCGCTCGAGTGAGCCCTATCACGCCGTGCTTACTAGCATCATATGCGCCGTGCTTGGCAAAACCTATCAGAGCTAGTCAGACGAGGGAAGCTTCACACGTTTGAGCAGTAGGAGGATTGCGGCGTACCCTTGATGCCATGAATTGAGGCCACATTGACAATGGAACCGCCGTCCGCTATGTTTCTGAGTTCCGCCCTGAGACAGTACATGCAGCCTGTCAAGTTGACAGCAATGATCTTATGCCATTCGTCATCTTCAAGGTCCGCGACGGCTCGAATTCCATGGTGTTTGCCAATGACGCCGGCCACGTTTGCAGCGCCGTCCAATCGCCCGAATTGCTTTACTATGCCATCTATCCAAGTCTCAACCTCGTTTTTAACGGACACATCCACTTTTGTTACCGAGAAAGACGTCCTTTGCTCCGTAAAGTAGGCCTCGGCTTGTGTCAGGGCTTCAGGGTCGATATCTGCAAGGCACACAGTGGCACCCCGCTTCGCAATGATCTTGGCCGTTGCAAGGCCAATACCGCTGGCCCCTCCAGTGAAGGCGTATACT